GTCTTTATATTATTATAAATAGCAGTGTTTATATGATCATGTTTTTGTTTTTTTATTTTGGCTACGTTGCGCACTGGTAATAGATCACCGGCGCCAACATTGTTACACTCTATCAACGTAATCCCAACGCAACTTTGAACTATGAATGAACTGTAAATACTGCCTTCAATCATGGAGCTTTTTGCCTCCATGTTTCAATCTAGAAAATAATATCGCAAAACGGTTGGAAATAATAAATTTAACAGCAGAATACGTCCTAGCAATAAAATAAAGTGACTTCTAAGGACTGAACATTTTTTTGCGAACCTTGTATACGGGACCCGGTTTTAGTTATAAACCGATGTTAGCTGCACGTTCATGTCCTACCATGGCAACAGCCGAAAACATGATACTTGTTTTTGAGCGGAGCGGATGCCAACCAGCCTACCGGCTTGTTTTATAAACTGGCTTGGTAATTCCCACCACCAATAGTAGACCATGTCACAGCATTTCAAGTACTTTTCCAAAAAATCCAAAATCACTCGATAATTTTGTTTACTTTACATTTGTACTATGATTACATTTTAAGTTTTGATAATTTTATGGATACATGTACATATACAAAATACGACCAAGTGAACGTCAGAATATCAAAAAAACAGAAACCTAAAAATCAGTTGCCGTCACGGTCCACAGCAGCGATATGATTTTACACATCGAAATTGAGAATCGCAGGTGTAGACAATATGCATAGAAATGAACACTAAATACATCTATCCCGGCCAGCAATCGAATCATCAATCTTCATGAATGACGTAACTGGCATTTCCATCTAATTGCTTCTATTCCCACTATCCTAAAACTCTCAAGTGAATGTTGTCAAATTCGCGAGTGTGCGTATTTTCGTACAGTGGCGTAAACATTGCTACAATCAAAGACGCGCTGAACAGAAAGTCAATTCTGGGCTAGTACCATTGTCAAATTCTGGGGAGTACAGGACGATTTATATGGGAGACGTTACAATAAGGAACTAATAAAATTGTTTGATTTGCATATCAAAATCCTTTATTGGAACAGAGCATGTTCTATATTTACCAAAAAACAAAGATATTATGTTTCTAGACACACAACAGACTCGAAACAATAGAAACCGTCCGATCCGGGCGACCTGCGTTCTTGAAAATCGAGTCTTATCGCCCTTGCGTTTCCGAGCAAAAAAACGTTGAGGCCAAAAACGACCGATTTTCGCCCAATCTTCTGTGATTTGTTCATAATTCAGCTAATTCAATCCAGCGGTTAGATAGAGTATTTATTAGAGACGCCCAGAGAACCAACATTTGGGACGCGAATCGCTCCGGCGACGAAAAATCTGCGAAAATAGCCAAGGGGGTGAGGGACTGCATTTCAAAAACATATTTTATATATGGGGTATATAATTACATAGAGAAATATAAAATGATGTGCATTTTTATTCACATTATGTCTTGTTAGTCTTGTTTATATTAGTAGTTTTGATTGTTGTGTAGTTAATTGTGTCAATAGTATTTCGTACGTTCAATATCTCATGAAAACTGTGCGACCAAATCGCGCGGAAACCGACTGTTGGCCCCTATAACTCGAAACTCGTATATTGTGCAACTTAAAAATGGCGTAAGCATTAAAAAGCTTCCCAAAGACAACTAATTAGAATAATTCCTTATTTGGCGTGCAGCATGTATGACATCATCATATCAAAACGTTGTGTGGTGATTAAGGCCTTTTAATCTCTACAGTTATTCGCAGTACTTTCGCATTCTATATTCATATTTGGATCATAGTGTAATTTCTAATTGAATATACTGAAAATACTTGTGTAAATACTTCAACCAATCGGATACTACTGACAATGTATGATGTATCGCTGGTCTATTAACTTGCACATCATATTACAATACTATATATTAACATTCCATTCATATATTACGATCATCCGTCAAATGAATCATAAGACAAATGAGACGTTTGATGTTAATTTGAGATATGACACTGGCAGATATCCATCAATGACCAAACAATTACATACTACCTGTGTATCCCAGTGCGGCGAAAATATTGATTTTCCACGTGCTTAGTGGTTGAAGAGAGGTGTGTTTAATTGTTGATTTCGTCTACTGGTGTAGTATAGAAAGTCGCTTTCATTCTATATTCAGTCTACAATTAATGCATAGCTTCGCTGCTTAATGAAAGTGGTCATGTAGTTGGTCGATTTGTAATGACCACAGCGTAAGAAGTGTCAGTGATGTAGTTTGCACATGCAGGCGTTTCACCTTTCTTGGCTCTGGAAAAACGTGAGGTTTGCATACATTTGCATGGTTAATGAGCTAATTTGGCGGACCATAGACTGTCGACAGTCCTCGGGCCTGATGTAATTGTGTTTCCTAGACATTCGAACGCCGTAGACGTTTGATGGGAAATGCTAAACATTTCACGCGAGGGATTTTAGTCCCGAGAGTCGGTCGTGCCTAACTGCATTCCATACTTCCTGTCCCGGCGTTCGCAATTTATTCACGCCTATTACGTATATAGACAATATTTATTAATAATAACAGATTAATGTTAGGTACGACAGTATAGGCGAACCACTGGAACAGGGTGGTTATTAATACTAAAAGTAAAATTGCGCCCTCTATCAGTAGCTAGCAGTTAGCATCACGTCGCGCGACAGAAAGGTGTTTAGTCGGTCATGTTGGTATGGTTTTCTTCAGTAATATCTCGCTGTTATCTTAAGCTGAGTTCAATAGTTCAGTTTCTCCACGTTTTGGAGTTGAAACAAACTGTTACAGTTGTATTTACCCTTCACATTATATGCAGAACACATCCCACTGATTACATCCCACTGTGATAGCCGTGAAAACTGGTAAATTTATTCTAAAATAATAGAGCACAGACGTTTGCCTGCACTGAATGTCGTGGTGTATAATCCTTCATTTAAACTCAATTGTTATTGTTGTAATCACTCAAGACTACTTACTCTATTATGAGAGGGTTTTAAAATTCGCTTTTGGTATTGTGTTGGATACGATTTATCATAACTGTACACAAACAAAAAAGCTTTTATGATGCTTTCTGTGGCCAGTAAGTATCCGGACGACCCATTAGTTAGGGCCATACTTTCTTTCTTGGCGATGCCCGCACCATTGCACTATTTAACACGTGTCTGGAACACAATGTACAATCAGAAACTGGACACTGCTTACTCAATGTATTCAAGTTTTTTCAAGTTTCAAGTTTATAAAACCTCACAAAATTATATCTCCGAAAATGTGATGTTGATTTTTGTTTGTTGTTGTTTTTTTAT